TGACAGCAGACGTAATGAAGTCGTCCACCGTTGACGCTACATAACGCTCGACCTTGACATGCAAAGCTGAACTGAACAGGAAGAAGACGTGCGCGCTGGAGGCGGCGACGCACACTGACTTTGACTTGTTGGGATTATTAACGACGAACGGCGTCAACCTGCGGTGAAAATCCTCCATCTGAAGAATTAATTCATTGATCTCCTCATGACATGGATGAGTCGGTCTCCAGCGTGGAGCTTGAAGGCCGTCATGCTCTTGTCCCGCATTGATTGGGTGCGAGCCGGTCTTATATGATTACCGGGCTCCGACTCTTGAAGGTGAGCGGCACAAAATGAGCCGTAATTCCCCGTATCCACCGCAGCTCTCCCACAACAGAAACATTCATCAAGGTCTGCTGATGAAACCCTGAGACAGACAGGGAAAAAGGAGGCCGACATGTCTGGTTTGTAGATGTCACTAAACCCGGGACTTGAGGGTTCGCTTTAAAATGAAAGCTGGCAGCAAAATCCACTTTAGTCTTGGAGAGAAAGGCTGCAGCGAAAAATCCGCTCCAAGGCCGGCGGAGATGGACAGCCTGCTTCACCATCCATTACAGTCCAACCATTTACTGTCAACTGGAGGGAAAAACAACTCTGGAGCTGCCTGCTGGTGCTAAATCTGAACAGATCATCTGAGATTGGCCACATACAGTCTGTTCGTCTTACTTTAGATGACGTGGAGGATAAAACGGCTTTAAAACAGACGCCCAGAGCCAGAGGAGCGCTTTCCCCCCTCTGCTACTGTCTCCTTTTATTGTTTTTTTAAACTCACTTACTGTTTTTGTTCGCTTTAATTAAAATTACCCTGCTTTGATTTATCGTATACGATAAAAAAAAAAAACAACATTTCACCGACAGATCTTCAGGAACTGGTCTCCTGAGTTCACCTTCTGATTTTACTCCCTTTCATCCTTTTCTGGCTGTTTTTGTCCACTAACTTTAGCTGCTGTAGAAACATATCAGAGCGACGTTTTCTTTTTTTTTCTCAGATCAATTCAGAAATACTGAATTTTAAGAAATAGATATTGGTTAAAGTTAGACAAAAAAGGGCTAAAAAAAACAATTTTAACCCGATTCTATGCAAAAAATAAAAATACATCAAAGTTAATGTTGTTACTAATATTTGACAAACCTAAAGGTGTGATAGCAGGTAAAAAATCTTCCGCCTCTGATCACGTTTTATATTAAAAATATGTCATATAATGTGATTTTTACCCAAACCAATGACATCACCTCTCAATTTGGCATTTAAAGGGTTAAAAAATTATAATAAAATAACAAGAATACTAATGTTATGATAAGGACGGAGCTTGATGAAGAGATTTGAGCAAAAACATTTGAAAAAAATATTAATCTGTTATTTTTTTACAGCAGCTAAAGTCAGCGGTCAAAACAGCCACCAAACCAAAAAAATCTGTCCACAGTGAATTTTTGACCTTAAAATTTTCTTTAAATATTTGTCAAATTTCCTCTTCTAAAATGATTTCACTCTCGAAAAAAAAGTGGGGTATTTTGCACCCCAGAGCTGATGACACACCTGTACCTGTTAGCCTCGTTTTTACCGTTATAATTAAACTTCTTCTGATGGCGGTTTAGTCCCCGCTCATCTGAGGACTTCCTGGTACCTCTTCTGGGTCTCGAGTCCTTGCCCCGGCGTGTTTATCTTCGCCACCTTTAAATATTTATGAAAATTCAGAGCGTACAGTCGGCGGCCTGTAGTCTTAAATCCTCCAGCTGGAGCCCATGAATCTGATTTCAGGGGCTCTGTATACTTTTTCATTATCTCCTCATCGCATGGAGGCGGGTGAGCCCGTCAGAGGTCAGGCGAGGTGGCGGGGGGGAAAGTGGCGAGACGGAATCAATTCAAATTGTTTTGGACGCCTATGCAGATGTGGGTGAAGCGTACAGTATGTCACCTGAGCAGAGAGGATGGATCGCTCTGATCTGAAGTCATCCGTCACCCCAGCCTCTCCTCGCTCTGCTCTCCTCTTCAGCGCCTTTCCTCATTTTCTCTTCCGGGTAATTTTGCGACGCAGTGTTCGTTTTGGCGTGATGAGCTGCTCTGAGCTCCCCGTGACCCCTGACGATATCTAATCAATTTGGAGATGGTTTTTCTTTCTTTAATTAATTAAGAGGAGATCAAAGAGTGGAGATAAAAGCTTCCTCAGCTCTCCCGCGCACAGATTTCTGCGCTGCCTTTAAATCAGGATAAAACGTTCGCAGTCACACGCCTTCATACGGACGCTCTTATCAGAAACTCATCCTATCACATCCTCTCAGCAGCACGCCTGATGTTTATTTCAAATCACTTCAAAGAACCGTCCGGCTCTGAAAACACTGAAGAGAAAACCCCCCTGAGGTCTTCAGACCCTCAACGCTTTAGAAGAAACCAGCCCACAGACTCCACGCATCTGCCCAGGAGAACTCCCACAGAGGAGACTCAAAACCCGCCGCCACGGTTTGTTTGGGTCTTTTCATGCCGCTCATGTTGAAGGGCGTCCAGGACTGAACCAGGAACCAAAGCAGCAGGGAGACGATGACCGGCCAAGACGAGAGCTTGATAGAAAACATCTTCACCAGCTCAGAGTGAAAATCAGATCTGACTGATCTCTGGACCGACAGGAAAAAGGAAAAAAAATGACAGAGCAACAAGAAGCTTTATTGTGATTGGTTGATGGTCAAGTAGTGACCTTGATGGGCGAGGGGAGGAAATCTACTTCTCGACTTCTAGAATCAGCATCTCCTCATCCATGGTGTCATCGGGGTGAAATAACGTCTAAAAACCTTTCACTTGTTCGTCTCCGACATGCTCTGGTGTCGAGAAAAAATAGAACTCTTGTGATCAGCTGTGGAGTCCAGCGGAACGGAAAGAAGCCGGTTGAAATTGACACGTTAACTTGAATGGTTATGATCAGCTATGATTGACCTTTTCGTAGCCGTTCCAGATGGTGGAAATTGGAGGCTAGATAATCGAGGACAGCAAGATTTCTCCATCAACAGTCCTAACAACACCAAAGTACATAATTGTACCTGTCCATGTACGACACAAATAACTACTGCAAGTCCAAACAATGACGACAACATTTTAACAGGCATGAAACGCTGCAGTGTGACCAGATCGCCTCTAAAATCCTGAAGGTTTCAGCTCTGGAAACGCGAGTCCCAGTCTTTCCGTTCCCAAGGAAACCATTCATCAAGGCGTTAAATGACCATCGGCCTGTCGACCTGACGTCTGTGGTCATGAAAGCCTTTGAGAAGCTGGTATTGAGCCACCTGAAGGACATCACAGACCCCCTCCTGGACCCCCTACCAAGCTCACAGCTGGATGATGCAGTAGACATGGGAGTGCATTAAATCCTGCACCACCTCCACACTGCAGGGACCTTCACCCGGATCCTGTTCGTGGACTCCAGCCTCCACCTCTCAGCAGAGCACCATCTTCCTGACAGATAAGAGGACGACTCAAAGATGCTCAGAGATGTCTAAAGGCTCGAGTCTGAATAACTTTATGAAATTCACCTCTCTGACTTCTGCTCTTCCTCTGAGCTTTAAATGAACTCTGAACCGAGACAGAACTCTGTGCTGGATCACGTTAGACTCTGAATACAATAAATAAAAGTCGAAAAGTTATTTCAGTTGTTTAGACCTCATTCTGTCAGCTTTCAAACGGTTCAAACTCAGCGGAGACTCTGAGAGAGAGAACTCAGAGTTCAGGACGTTTCATTATCTCTGTGCAGTTTAACAGGAAGGACGTAAACACAAGAATATCGGGTTTAAGGCCGCTGAACGAGACCAGAACTGGACCTTTCACTGGCTGAGATCGAGGAACTTCAGCCGCAGCTGCTGTAGTTTACAGGGAGAGAGTTCATTTCAGGGAAAACTTAGTTTCTGCAGAGGAGGATTCATGTCATCAAACAGAAACAAGCTGAAAATGTCTCACACACACACACACACACACACACACACACACACACACACACACACACACATACACACACACACAGAGCGGTTTAATTAGCGCAGACAAACACAAAGACACTCAGACCCAAACTGAGTTCATCCTGATAATAAAAAAACAGGAGCTGCTTTTCTGAAACTTTGACCTTTGAGGGAAACATTTTCATCAGGACGGCCGACACGTCAAACGGAGCCGCTCTGAGCTTAATGAGGTGACTCAGCGCTCATACACACACACTTATACACACACTTATACACACACACACACACACCAGACCTGCAGTGACTAAAGATCTGTTGCTCCATAGACCCTCATTCACAGCTGAGTGTGTGACGCTGACAGCTAATCGATGCGCTGTGATTGGCTCATGTGACCCAACAGCTGCTGCTCGTTGTCGTGACTACCGGGTTTGAAAAGAACTCCATACAGTGTGTGTGTGTGTGTGTGTGTGTGTGTGTGTGCGTGTGTGTGTGATTGTAACTGATCTTGCAGAAGCATAACTAAGATGAACCTCAAGAGCTAGGCCTGGGCTAGCTCTGCTACAGGTTTAGACTGACAGGGGCCTTTTCAAAATAAAAGCAGGAATTGACACAACTTCAATGCAAGACAGAGAAAATATCAAAATAAAAGCAAGAAAAGTTTTGTGAAGTGACGGTTTCTCTAAAATTATTCGAGCCTGTGGATAAATCCTGAATTTTTCACTTCATTCAGAGACTTTCAGAGCTGACAGAAGTCGGTGAAATTCATCCTCAGCTGATGAAACCTCCTCCACCTTAAAAAAAAAAAAAACAGTTTTTCCCAGCAGCAGAACCCGGTTCACCAGTTCGGACACGTTTTGAGTCTGTGCTGCTCCGTCTTTATCCCTGCTGAAGCTCTTCGGGGAGCTTCAGTTAGACAAGCTGATTAAGCTGCGTTTTTCTTGACCAATGGAGTGCGGCGGCAGACAATTAGGACGCCGACTTGCTGCTCGCTGTGGTTGTTATTTCTCAGGCCCAAAATGACCTCCGGGAAGGACTCACGGACGAAGGAGGAGGAGGAGGAAGGGTGGAGATAGCCTGCCCAGCATGCTGCTCATCACACTGTTTGATCCATCAGTAGAAATACCTTCCCCCCCTCCTCCGTCGTCTGCAGCTCTCCATCCACTCCTCTCCTCCTCCTCCTCCTCCTCCTCTCGGTCTTTCCTCCGCCTGCTCAGATCAGCAGGTAGATCAGCACACCTGCACCTCAGAGGCTGAGAGGTTTCCTGCTGGAGGAGGAAGTGACACGGTGTTTCCTGCTCAGCGTGAAGACTGTGACAGCTGACGGGTTTCTCTTCAACAGAACCTGAATGATGGAGTCGACCTGAGTTCATGTTCAGGAGTTTGACGTTTCTGCAGCTGTCGCCTCAGACTGAATATCAGAGTGTTCGAGAGAGAGACGGGACAAGTTCAGGACGGCGAATCTTATCAGACGGAGCCGTACACCCCTCCTCTGATACTGAGCACGCTCCTCCTCACCTGTACCAGGCGTGTCCGACAAGGCGGAGTCGACCAGTCAGAGTAAATCTGGTTATCAGATGAATATTTGGTTTAGTTTGTAACTTGTCTACATTTTCATCCACCTGTTTTTGTATCTGTTCAGTTATTAATTTATTGATCTATTTATTGATTGATTTGTTTACATCATTTATAGCTGTGTCACATGTTTCGGTGTCTTTGGGAAACAGTGAATTAAAAAAGAAGATTAAACGGCGTATGTACCACACTGTTAACTTTCTCAATCCTGCTGATAACATGGGACTCTATAAGGATTGACTCACTTTTGAGACCGCCTCTAGTGGACATTTGAGGAACTGCATTTTTAAGCAATACATTATCAGCTTTAGTTTTGAACTTTGGTAGTTTCTACTACCTATCAAGATACTCATCTAGGGCTGAAAATTTACTGATACCAAAATTTACGACAATTTACGACAAATAAATAAAGTTGGTTTTGGATGTGTGTAGGTAGGTTATGATCTCACGTCCCTTTAAGAGAGAAGACAGGTGAGGAGATGGAGGACGGTTCAAAAGTTGGAGCGGCTGAAGTAGATGAAGTTAATGTGGGAGGGGGTGAGCAGCTTGTGGAGTAGTTATCGTCTGTTTATCATTATCGAGGTGAACTGATCAATATATCGTGACATTAATTTAAAGCCGTATCGCCCAGCCCTATCCTCATCAGTCTGGTAACATCTCTGAACCCGGAGCACGAGTGTCTGAATGTGGTTTAGAGTATTTCTTTCTTCCCTGTAAATGTGTCTTTAAAAAGCTGCAGAGTCTCGGCGGCTGTTTTCTTCGTTTCCTCTAAACTTCCTTCCTTTATCCGCGATGAGAGGCGGGTGATTTTTTGGGGGGGCCTGAACTCTCGGCACACTTTGAGGAACACACACTCTTTCAGCTGTGTGGTCCTCGGGCGGAGAGATCAAAGCTGCTCTTTCACAAAGTGTGCAGACACTCAGAAAGTGCTGAGGTCAGAGAACAGGCCGGTTTAATGTCGACTGCATGTCCAAAAGTCTGTGGACGTCTGAGTGTGAGCTCCTTTATGTTGAGGGTGACGGTCTCTTCATTAAAACCTCAACCTGCTGCAGAGTCTGGATCCTGCTTAGAGCTCAGAGCTTCAGTCAGGATTCAGTCAAGGGTCTGCAGCATCAGTCGGAGTTATTTTTTAAAGCTGTGTGAGTTTGAGGCTGAAACCATATGACACATCGTTTTCAGCATTTATATCAGAAACAACTAAAACTGACTTTGCTGCTTTTCTTTCTCTTATATTAAAAGGTACAGTGCGTAAAACAGGGAACATTTTCAGGAATCTAGCGGCCAGATTCAAGACTTCAAAAATGTATTTGTTACAAATTTGTCCATCATGAGCCACCATAGAAACATGACAGTGCAAAACAAAAGTTTCTCTGAAGACGTCCAAAAAGTCATAAAAATGTCTCAGATTAAAAAAAGAAGATTGTTTCCTATTTTCTGCCGCCTCCCTCTGTTTTAGCTCCTCCTTCTCTTCCAAATATGGTCACTTCCGGATGCAGAAAACCAACATGACACAAGAGGTTTCATTTACAGGAAGGAATCGAGCTATTCTATACTCTTTAAAAATAAAAAGACAGATTTTAGGTCAGACTGAGTTTTTGACGAGCTTCTCTGTTTGTCGAGTTTAAGGTTCGGTTTCTGGTTTATGCCTAAGCTGGGTTTAAAATGAGTTCTCCTCATGGTTCTGGACCCTGGCCCACCGTCAGAGACCCCAGTTTCAGGTTTGTAAATCTCAACAGCAGAATAATGGTCCCCCGTCAGCTTTAGGGCCATTTTCAAATCATATAATCTACATAAAACAGCCGCCTCAGCTGTAAGCGACATAAACAGCCGTCATGTGTTCTGTGTTGTTACCATGACGACCGGTTCTATAATGACAGTAAGTGTTTATCACGTCCAAACACATAAATCCAGGCCGTTCTCATGTGAATGGAAAAGTCAACAGTTTTTTAGTCTGGCTGGTTTTTTCTCTTCAGTCGACAACATTTGGAAAAAAAACTCAAACGCAGATTAAAGTGGGAGGGACACGTTCGGATTAATCTGACAGATCCAGAATAACGAGCAGAGTCTGTTTGCTCTTCTTCTCAAACATCAGAGGATATTTGTTAAATCTAAAAAACTGTTAACACTGTAAGTTAGCCCTGCCTCCAGAATAAACTGTGAAATATTCTCAAACTACCATAAACTAAATACTGTGAAATACTCTGATTCCATGACCATAAAATCCAGCGTTTGTTTCGTTTGTTTTCTTCACGAAAACAGTTGATTTCTTTAGTGACACCATGTGTGAAATTGGACAACATGATAAATCTAACAGGAGCCAAAAGACTACAGCATGTCTCTGTCTTTACCAGTGCAGCGAATGCATTGTCTTCATTTACACATCTTAAAGAAAATAAAACTGAACCAAAGTGAAGACTAAGCTTTGTCACAGTACGCTTACCTCAGCAAATTACACTGTTAAAGGGAAAGACTGAAGGGAAATGATAAACTGTGTCTGCAAGATAATCTGGGGCTAATCTTTGGTGCTTGAATTTATGCAAAACTGAGATGCAAAAATATAAAAATGTATCAGCAGGCAGAGAAACAGGTCTGACTGTCTGCAGAAAACTGTAGCCTAGCTTGTGTGTCGGTTTAGGTACCAGACGTGTTCAGGCTGCCAGATCGGCTCAGAGCGTCATCACAGTGACTCTCGGCGACTCTCCCGCTGAACACGTACAACGCTACTGCGCGATGTTGGTTTCAGGAAATGGAGAAAAAACACGGAAATAACGAGAGCTTTTTGGATTCAAATCCGTATACAGGCGGAAGGTGAAACCAAGTTGTCCAGAGTTTATACAGTCTATGGTTTAGCCCACAAATAAGAACTATTTGGGTTTTAAATTGCATATTTCCTTGGACCACTTGACTATAAGCGGTGTGCGTTTTGTGAGGTGTATGCAATTCTCGGCACAACACCGGTAACAACAACGATTACAAAATGAGCAACGAAAAGAAAAACAACGTCAATAATCTGGAATTATTTCAGTTACAAGAAGGAGATAACAAGTTTCAGCACAATAAACACTAAAAAGATCTCTGAGACAGACAGAAGCCATTCTACTAACATTCACAAAAAGAGGTAAGATCAGTGCAGATTAACTGTCCTCAAGATTTCAGCAGAAAGTGATATTCAGGTCATCTGGTGAAAATTCCTGTTTGTTTTAATATCGAAATATTTATAGTTAATTTAAAGTTATTAATAGTTTTTTACAATGTCTTGCAGCCCTCAGACTAACTGCAGACCGTCTTTAGTCTGTTTTTGTGCAGATGAAAGCATCACACGTAAACGCCGTAAACACCCTCTGTTTGATGACACCAAATCTCTGTAATTTATGCTGCAGGTTCGGTCGAGTTAGGCTCCTTTAAAAATGTCCGAGTTTGTTAGGATTGCTCTTTTGTTTTACCCTCCGGACTATTTTTAATGAATTCCTGCAAAGACATAATTCCATCTGTCAGATTTTCTTTTTCTCTGTGACTCAGTTAAAAGGATAAAAAGAAAAATATCAAGTCGATGTAATAAAACAAACAAACAAACTGATAATCTGTCACATTTGTAACCTCGCTGCTCTTAAAATGAAGGTATAATTGGAGAAAGCGCGGTCCCTGCTGAAGCTCAGAAATAATAACCAACCACCCAGGACTTTGTGTACCCTTTCTTCAGCCTTCAGGGAGAGCGAGCACACATAAAGATGAGCTGAATGTTTTTGAGGTCACCGTGGACTGAAGAAATCCACCCAAAGCTGAAAACGAGCCGAATTCAACTCCAAAATGTCAGAACTGGTTGGTGTAAAGACGCTGAATAACACAGAGGAGGCTTTCCTTTGAAAACAGCAGTTTCACGCTCTCAAATCGGCCTAATTGAAAAGTGGGATTTGCCTGCAGTGTGAGGACATTTAACACTGCAACACCGCTGGCACCAAACAAGAACACAGCTCCAAGGTCCCACAGGGAAACTGGCAGCGTCCACTCCGAGTCCATTTTCACCCGCTGGTCCTGCCAGAATCAAATCAAACCCCTCCCAGACCCGTGAGCGTGTGAGGAAGAGGAGTCAGGGGAGTCATACGCAGTCAGCCCCTTACCTCAGCAAGATGAACACCTTCGCCAAGGCCAACGGTGACAGGCGAGAGAGAGAGGGGAGGAGAGGGAGGAAGGAGAGAGAGAGGGAGGGGTGACAGTATGGCCGGAGCCCTGGGAAATCAGAGCATAATAATTAAAAGTCCAAAGACCCCCGAGCAGATGGCAACCGGGAGAGGAGGAGGAGGAGGAGGAGGAGGAAGAGGTGAAAAAGAAAAGAAGGAAAGAGGAAGGAGAGAAAATAAAAAAGGTTGTAAATAAACAAAAATAAAAAGGGCAGAATAGGGAAATGAGGTTAAAAATCTGAAAGGAGAAAAAGTCAGAGGAAGAGAAGAAGAGGAGGAAGAAGAGGAAGAGAAGAAGAGGAGGAAGAAGAGGAGAGAAGAAGAGGAGGAGGAAGACTGGATGATAAAACCTCTGAGTTCAATGACAGAGAGAAGAAAACGAGACTGAGGTTCAAAAAGACGCTAAAAACGAAGCAGGTGAACCAACCAGAGGCTTCTCTACCCGTTAAAACAAACGA